CAATTACAAGCTGGTTCATCAATCACATGGTAAAACTGTAATATGGCACAAAGAGTAATGGCACATTGTTTGATAAAAGCAGTGTAATAAAGTGCCTGTTCGGGCTAAACATGCATGTCTTGACGATGTGTTGGGTAGTGGAGAGATAGTCTCGTCTTGCAACTAGATTTGTAGTAGCTCATTAATTGTAATTGACCATAACCACTATAGTGACACAATGTGTAGTAGAGATTGTTAAGTAGTGGAGCCGCTTGTAGGGGACCCAACCTTGTGGATGCTGCCGCACACAGAGTGTATGCAATTGAGTTTACACCCTCACAGCGAAGGTCACTGCTTGGGTGGTAAGTCTGGTTTTGAGGTTCCGTCAGCCCTCAGGATGTGGTGCAGTTTTATGAGCGTTTTAGCAGTGTAGATTCTCGTTTGGTTTCTGATTTGGTGGTTTTTACATGCTATAGGCATGCATTAAAGCTGCGTGCTGCTAGAGTTTCACACAAGAGAGAGTGGCACAAGCCTTCCTCTGTACTGTAGCCTATGTGTAGGGTGTGTGTTCTCCGTTGGACGTCAGGTCCGTTTTGTTGCTTACTTATGTGTGTTTCGTTTGGTCTCTGTTGTCAGTAGCATCGTCTTGGGTACATCTATTTTGCGTTTGCGATGTTAGCTGCGGCTTGTTCCAGTGGTCAGGGGTGGTTATCGTGTCTTGTGATTTTGGGTTCGCGGTGTTATTGTGGGTATAGTCTATCGTGGGTATATTATGGGTAGCTTGTGTGTGGGGATATGGCATCGCGCCTGCAGGGGAGTGGGGGGGGATGGGGGGAAGTTACGGAGCGGCCGGACGTCCCAGTCCCTTTCTTACACTCCCGCTATGTGTCTCATAACCCAAGGGTCCCAGATTTTGTGGAAGTGTTTTGTCGTGTCATGTAGAATGGCTGAGAGTTTGTCCATTTCCATGGTTTCATTGGTTTTTTGGATCATCTTTGCCAATGTGGGTGTGTTATGGTTACCCCATTGCTCTGCTATGGTGCGTCTAGTGGCGAGGGCTATTTTCGCTACCAGTTTGTTTTGTGCCCTTGGTAGTCTGGGTAGGGGTTTTGAGAGTAGCCACGTCCAAGGGTCCGTGGGTATATCTTCCTGCAATATTCTGGAAGTGAGGTTGGCAACCTCCGTCCAGAGTTGCGAGCTGCATGGGCAGTGCCACCACATGTGTATGTATGTACCTTGTTGTCCGCATTTTTTCCAACACGTGTCTGTTTGGGCTATGCCCATCTGTTTGAGTTTCAGAGGCGTTAGGTACCATCTGAGCATGGTTTTGTACGCCTGTTCTTTGTGGTTCACGCATATGGTTAGTGAGGCGGTTGCTTCCCATATGCTTGCCCAGGCTGTTGGGTCATCCGGTGGGCCTATGTCTCTTTCCCATGCCTTTGTGTATGTGAGTGTGTCCGCTGGGGAGTTGGAGTTTAGTATGGAGTATATCAGGGGGATTTGTCCTTTGTGTGTGGGGGCTTGTAGGCAGTTTGTCTCGAATCGAGTGAGTTTTGTGGTTGCTGTTTTCCTATTCTGAGGTTCTGTTAGGAAGCTGCGTAATTGTAGATATCTAAAGTGGTCGAAGGTGTTCAGTGGCGTGGTACATGGGAGTTCTGGGAATGGTATTAGTTGTTGGTTGTTATAGAAGTCTCTGAATCTGATTAGTCCGTTGTCTTCATAATGTGCGTAGTCTCGTGGTGTCATGCCTGGGTGGAATCGTTTATTTCTGAGGACTGGGGTGAGTGGTGAGGGGGAGTTTATGAGGGGGTATCGTACGATGGTTCTGTCCCAGACCTGTAATGATGTAGTTAGGGCGGGTGTTGTTGGGGGGAGTGCTGGTCTGTCTCTTTTTGGGAGCCAGAAGAGGAGGGAAGGGTGGTCTCTGCCGAGGAGGTCGTGCTCCAGATCGACCCAGAGTTTTGTCCCCGGGGGGGAGTGCAGGTGTTGCACTTGGGCTAGTTGGGCTGCTTGATAGTATTGTATGAGGTTGGGGAGGCCCAGGCCTCCGGTCTTAACTGTTTTGTACATTGTTATCCGTTTGATCCGTGGTCTTTTATCGGCCCAAATGAATTTATCTATTTTTGATTGGAGGGCTTTAAAGTCCAGCCTAGAGATGGGGATGGGTAGGGTCCGGAACAAATATAAGAATTTGGGCAGGAGGTTCATTTTTATGGATGCGATCCTGCCTAGCCAGGAAATATGCATGGGTTGCCACCTTTGTAGGTCTATTTGGGCTTGTTCGATTAGAGGGGTATAGTTGAGTGAGTACGTTTCGGAAAGGTTCGCTGGGATGTGTGTGCCTAGGTAGTGGATACTTTGTTGGTTGTATCGGAATGGGTGAGAGTGTTTTATTTGGGTTAGGAGTTGTTGCGGGAAGTTGAGGGGAAGGGCTTCAGTTTTTTCTAGGTTAAGTTTGTAGCCGGAGACACCGGCATATTTTTGGAGGAGTGTGAGCAGGGGGGGCAGGGAGTTGATGGGGTCCGTGAGAGTCAGGAGGATATCATCTGCATACGCTGCGATCTTATATTCTTCCTGTCGGACTAGGATTTCGGGGGATGTGCGAATGAGTTGAAGAAGGGGTTCTAGGGAGAGGGTGAACAGGAGTGGGGAAAGCGGGCAGCCTTGTCTGGTTCCATTTTTTATTGTGAATTCGTGCGGGCCAGTGTTGGGGAGAAGGAGGGTTGCCGTGGTGTTGGAGTACAGTGTTGTGAGGGCCGTAATGATGGCGTCGGGGAAGTGGAATTTTCGTAGGGCGGCAAATAGGAAGGGCCAGAGTAAGCGGTCAAACGCTTTTTCCGCATCCATCGAGAGTAGGAGGGTGGGGATGTGCCTATGTTGGGCTCTCCATATTAGGTCTATCGTACGTCTGGTGTTGTCGCATGCTTGACGGTTGGGGATAAATCCTACTTGGTCTGGGTGTACGAGTTTTGGGAGGAGACGTTGTATTCTGTTTGTCACGAACGCACCCTACTCCAAGAGTGTGCGTGACGTAGTTGTGGTGGTGAAAGGGTTAAAGTACACTATTTGTCTGCACTAGACCGGAAATAATGACAAAATCTCCCTTTAACACCACCCACACTTAAACATAATAATATAACTATTACTACTTTAACGCTGCCACCACCAAGACAATTTATAAATGGGGTGCCTTGGTCCCCCAGGTAAATCAATAATAAAAACCCATCAAATATTACTTAGCACAATATTTAAGGAATTATAAAAATACTAACTAGTCTCTTCAGGTAACGTGATTCTTAACCAGACAAAGGCAAAACTTAATAAATGAATGTTTATTATGAGCAAAAGATAGTCACAGTGCATATAAAAATATATGATAAACAAATTATTTACACCAACAACAGATAAAAACAAAAAGGATAAAATACAGAAGTCCTAATTACTCACTTAGGTTTTCAAAGTACAACTTCTGTCCAGGGGGTCTCTGGCAAGGAAAGATGGTGACTCACCCAAAATTAGATCTTGGCCCCAAGCAAGTACACCAACACCCTTCAGGATCATTAGATATATACCCTGTGGTTTATCAAGTCTTGCCCAGGGGTGGAGTTAAGGCGTACCTACAGTAATAATAACTGACCACCTCCTTTGTTCCAGACCACTGTCAATCCAAATGGAAACATTTGACTCTATCTTCTTTTTTGTACCTGCCACAGAAATAATAATTGCATCTACAAATTTGTTATTATTTTCCCATTCCATAGACATGTTGCACGTCCCACCCACGATCCAATAGGACGGACATCACAATTCCTTTCCCTAGGGTCAAGTTAGGCCACTCATGTTTGGACTTGGTTAGAAGATGGCGCTTGTCACATTCCAAATATAACAAAAATGAGGCTTAATTATTATTCTGTGGGGGTAAATATGAATGTTTTTTGTCCTTCATTTGGATATGATACTAGAACAAAGCTAATGGCATTTACATATCAAAGAGATTTACTCACCACTTACAAAGTACAGGCCAAATGGATGAAGAGACATTCAGACTTTTTCCAAGTGTAGAACCTCACACCTTGCAGACTTCACATCCATACAGTAAAATCCTTTTCACATTCCTATGCCATTCACACTACCCCTTCTGTCATCTGCCCTCTGTGGGGGTCCCAGCTTCAAAAGATGTAACCCCTGGTGACCTCAGCAATAGCATCTCTGTAATTTGTGCCATTTACTACAAGAAATAACATTAAAAGATGATATTCCATAGTGTCATAATAAATTATACACCCTTGCCGTGACACTGTTGGCCAGTGTTTTCGTGAGGATTTTGATGTCTGTGTTGAGGAGGGATATTGGGCGGTAATGTCCAGGGTCTAGGTGTGTTTTGTGTGGTTTGGGGATTAGGCATATGTTGGCCTTGAGCATCTCTTGTGGTACCTGGTCGCCTTCCATTATAGAATTGCAGAGTGCGGTTAGATGGGGTATCAATGTGGCGCTGAACGTTTTATAATAGAGGCCCGTGAAGCCGTCAGGTCCTGGACATTTATTGGGTTTAATGTGCTTTATTGTGAGGGCTATTTCCTCTTCAGTGATTGGGGACGCGAGGGTGTTTCGTTCTTGGTCTGTTAGTGCCGGGGGGGATTTCCGACAGGAAATTGTGAATTTCTTGTCCTAACGTTGGGTGAGTGAGAGTGTGGTTGGGTTTATGGTCGTATAGTTTGGAGAAGTAGTCAACGAATATGGAAGCTATGCGGTCAGGGTCTTTATGGGTTCTGCCTCCAGGCGATGTGATTTTGTCTATGTGTTTTTGGAGAGTTTTATGTCGGAGCCTGCGCGCAAGGAGGGTGTCTGCCTTGTTGGACTTCTCATAGTATAGTTGTTTGGTCCATTGTAGTGCTTTTTGGGAATCTTTGGCCATATAGGTCTTTATCGCGTGTTGGTGTGTTTTAATTTGGTCGAGCAGTGGTTGAGATGGGGTGCGTTTGTGTTTGGCTTCTATTGTCCTTAGGGAGGTCAGGTGTTGTTCTAATTCCCGGAGTGTTTGTTTTCTGTGGGTGCTGGCTGCGCTAATTATTGTTCCTCTGATTGTTGCTTTATGGGCTGCCCACAGTATGTTCGTGGATGGGACCGATCCCGTATTGACCTCAAAATAGTTTGTGAGCTCCTGTTGGATTTTTTGTCTGATTTGGGGGTTATGTAGGAGTGTGGGGTTTAATCGCCAAGTCCATGCTTTGGCTGTGTGGGGCTTATCTATGTTGAGAGAAATTTCGGCGTGATCAGACCAGGTGATTGAACCTATCGAGGTGGAATGTGTATAAGGTACTAGGGAGGGGGATATTAGGAATAGGTCTATCCTAGAGTAAGAGGAGTGTGGGTGCGAGTAGAAGGTGAAGTCCGGGGTTGTGTGGTGATGGAGTCTCCATATGTCCTGGAGGCCTGTTTGGGTGGCGAACTCCATAAGGAGTTTGTCATTTTTCCTGGTAGGGGGCTTGCGTGATTTGTGTGAGGGGAACAGTTTTAGTTGTGTGCGTAGTGCTGTCCAGAAAGTTGGTTCGGGTGTGTTTGGGGCGTAGACTGTGGTAATCGCGTACTTGTGATTGGCAAAATGTCCTGTGACCGTCAAGTATCTCCCTTGGGGGTCTGGGAGGCTTTTTAAGATTGTGATCGGGCAGTGTTTATGAACCATAATGGCTACTCCGTTTTGTTTGCCTTGTGGCGAATTTGCTAGGTAGCATTGTTTGTAGTTTTTGTTGATGAGGGGAAAGGGTTTTTTTGTGTCAAAATGGGTTTCCTGGAGGAGGATTATGTCTGCCTTCGTTCTATTGGCCCAGCGAAGTGTGCGATGTCGCTTGGCTGGATTGTTAAGTCCTTTGCAGTTAATGGATATGCAGGAGATTGTGTCTGGCCTGGTTGTGTGTGGATGTGATGGTGGTTCGTTAGTAGGCATTCTTTAGTGTGGTGAGGGCTTCGGGTCCAGGGGGTTTCGGGGCGTCCGTCCGTTCCTACTAGGGGGGCTCCGGTGGAGAGTGGGTGGTGGGAGAGGGGGATGGGTGAGGTTTATAGAACTTTGGGGGTTTGGGTTGCAAAGTGTCTATCCTGGTTTTATGTGGTAGTTGCCAGGTAAAGTGGGGGGAGGCGGTGTTGTACACCTTGGGTCGGTCGTGTGGTTGGTGTCACCCGGGATGCCCGGGGTTCGGGGGTGGGGAAGAGGAGGAAGAGTTTCACGTTCCCATTACTCCTCTCCCCCCCCCGCGCTAGGTGTGGTGCAGCACTCACGATTTGGCGGTGCGGTGGTATCTATCTGTGGTGTAAGGTGCCGGTCGTGGTCCCTCCATTGGTGATTGGAGTGTGTCCCATGTTGTCCTCATCTGTGGTCCTGTGGGTGTTGTTTCAAGGATCGTGTTGTCGGTGTCTAACATAAGTAGTAGAAAACATTAGGTAACATAATAGAAAACATAATAACAAAAACACAGCATTTAAAACATTTCTGCTATAAGTGTGTACACAGATCCGGAGCCATCACATGCGTACCCTCTGTGTGAACATTAAACTATATAACAGTTCCATGCCAGTGATGGGTCCGGGTTGAATGGGCTTACCCGTCCGTCTAGTTTGGGTTGGGGGGGTGTCTGGGGTTGTCCTGTCCTGGTCAGTGGGAGTCCGTGTGAGTGGATTTGTGGTATTGCGTTTGCGTTGGGGGGGTAGGTAGGCTTTGGGAGCTTCCCCCGGGTTAGTCGCGGGGTGACCCCTTTTACAGTTTTATAGACGTCTAATGGTGTTGTCGTGGTCTATCCTGTGTGGGTTTGAGGATTCGAGTAGTTATGGGGAAGGTGATACTGTCTGGTTGGGTTGGTCTGCGGAGTACATCCTGGGTCCCGGGGGGGGGTGGGGTGGGTACCAGTGCGTTCTAAGGGGGTTCGTCTTGTGGGGTCAGGGCGAGGGCTGGTTAACTAGTCATGGGCCGTTTTGGGGGGGTACCTGCAAAGTAAGAGATGGTTAGATTGTAAGTCCAGTAATCAGCTAGAGAGTCCCCAGTTCAGGTAGTAAATAGTTCTTGGGTAGCACGTCAGGCATGATATTGGATGTGGTGTCAGGCGAGGTGTGAGAAGATGCCTTGTCCGTGCTCTGTCGTTCCGGTGTGGTGGTGATCTGGATCTGTGCCTGGAGTTGAGTAGGGGGTCTTGTATTGGTTGGTAGGCTTTGCTCAGGACCCATCCCGGATGCCCCGATTGCTTGGGTCTTGAGTTGGGTGTGGTGGTTGTTCGTGTCCAGTGGCCGAAGTGTCCAGGGTCTGGGCCAGTGCGTGGGTCAAGAAAAAATTCTCGTCCTGTGTTTGGGGGTGGGTTGGAGGTGGGGGGGGAGGATGGCATATAGCGAGGAAAGTGAGGGGTGTTTTGTCGGTTGAAGGGGGGCCGCTTACTGCACCTGGATAGCTCCTGCTGTTCGGTGGTATGAGGGATTCCAGGTGGCAGGCGGTCAGACCCACTAGGTTTAGTGGCGGCTGTCTCGGCGTTGCCAAGGGGGTTCCCCTGGGCTGGCAGGTATTCTCAATTTCTTGGGCGGCCTAGAGTCATCAGGGTCGTCTTGTGGTCGCCCATCTTCTCTGTTTTTGTGGAAGGGGGCCAGTTGTAGTAGCTGTATTCCCAGGGATTCCGCGAAGGGTGTCATGTCCGACACTGAGGTGAGGATGTGCATTTGGTCGTCTTTTTTAATCATGAGTTTGAAGGGGTGTCCCCAGGTATATTTGATGCCTTGTCGCTGGAGGGCAAGTGTCAGAGGTTTGAGGTCCCTTCTTTTCTTGAGTGTGGAGGGGGCTAGGTCTTGGAAGAAAGTTAGACGGGTTTCCTTATAGCGTGGGGGTTTGTCCCGCGCTATGGTTAGTAATTTCTCTTTAGTTGTGAAGAAGTGTAGGCGGGTGATCACATCCCTTGGGGTGGAGGCGCCCAGATTTTGCGGGCGGAGGGCTCTATGGGCCCTGTCTAATTCCATCTCGCGAGGTGTGAGGTCAGGGGCCAATGTTTTGAAAATGCTGTGAAGTGTGGGGACGAGTTGTTCCATGGTGACGGTTTCGGGTAGGCCGCGGATTCGTATGTTATTACGTCTGGACCTATTGTTTAGGTCTTCTAGGCCATCTTCTAGGGCAGCCATGTGGCCATAGAGGTATGCTATGTCCTGAGTGTGAGATGTGGACGTGGCATATATGGAGGCAATCTGGTTTTCTACCTGGTCTGTGCGGGCGGTGAGGCCTACTACTTCCTCTTTAAGGCCTGCCACATGTCTTTCCATCTCGGTGGCTACATGGGCCTTAATGTCGTTGGTGGCTTGGTGCAGCATGTCTCGCAGTACCGCGATGGTTATGGGGGCCGCCGGATTCATCGTTGTGTCCAGGCTTTCAGCCTCTGACCCGGATTCCTCCCCTGCCTGTGAGGAGGTTGTTCTCCGTTGGTCTGATGGCGTGCGGAATATGGAGGCCACCGATGGGTTCGTGTCCCTCCGTTTCTTGTTGCCGCCCATTCTTGTCTTTCCGTTCAGGGCGGGTGCCGGCTGTGTTGGGGTTGCTGCTGGTGTGATGGCAGGCTGTTTCGAGGCGTGAGGGATGCGGATGGCAGGGGATTTAGCGCATGGGGGGATCGGAGCGTTAGGATCAGGCGTCCATCTTCATCCGAGGTTAGGCCACGCCCCACCTATTATGCACTTTTAAAAACAAGACACATAAATAAATTTATTTGAATTACTTTTCCTAAGCTTGGCATATTATGCACACATTATTATTGCCAAAACTGTGAAAATAAAT